GAATATTAATTATAATGTTGTGCTGTTTCAGGAGCAATAACAAACTATTTATAATAGATAGATTTGAGATTAATATTCTCCTGGAATATTAATTATAAAGTTGTGCTACTTCAGGAGTAATAATATGAGAAATTACTAATTTAAAATTTATATAAGAACATCTAAAAATATTTAATCATGTTAAAGACACAAAGAACGTTTAATAATCATCATAAACGTATATTTTATCACCATAAAAAGATTAAAGCAAAGAGTATATGAATTAAAAACATGAGTTAATACATCTAATGCTAAAAAGCAAAGAGTATTAAATAATTTAAGAACATGGATTAGAGCAGAGTAGAAATTAATATAATAATAGTGCTCTTGATTGCCCAAATTGAATCAAATAATGATAATATTGCAAATAGTTTCCGCTGCAAAGTGGATTTGATTCAATTTGTTTCTACCCAAATAGTTTCCGCGGCAAATATTATTATGATAACAATGCTAATTGACTCAAATTCATATAACTCTAATGATTGTATCAGGAATGGTTTATGATTTACACGAAGTTGGGTAAAATTACCGGCGAAAAGATTGGCTATGATTCAGCCGTGTTCATGTAAAAAAAATCACATGTCACCAAATTAATTTTGGTACACGTGAGATGATTATGTTTAAAAAAAATTATTAAATTCTCTAAACTTTGAAAAATTAAGCTTTCGTGCTGATAACGTGTTATAAAAAGAAAGAAAAAGAGAAGTCAATAGAGTATGTAAGAATCAAGACCAATATTTATGAGTTTAAATTAAGAATTACAATTATAATGAAATAGACTTTTTGAACTAGATAAGACTTATCTATATATTATGATAATACTAAATAATCATTAATAATTATCTCATTATTTTACAACATATATATTTTAAAAAGATACTTAAATTATAATTTAATATTATATAAATTTATTTGAATAGACACATATTAAATTAAATAAAAATATATCGTTCTAAATTCATCGACTAATATTTATTTTCGTTAAATTTCTTTGAACCTTTTTATATATTTTTTTAGAATTTGTGTTTAACTAAAAACCTACTAACCATAAAATATCATTTTTAACTAAAATCATAAAATCCTAATAATCATAAAATATCATTTTTGCTTGTGAATTTTTACGTGTAAATAGTATCTACTGTACTCACAAATTATTCAATTCAATCAAATTGAATGCAAAATAAATATGACATTTGGTTTGGCAAGTATTTAAAATTTCGGAATATTATTCACTTATTCATTACTAATTTATACGTATTTATAATACAACGGTTTATTAACACGGCCAACCATATGCGACAATCACAACTTATAATAGTCCTATTTTTTTCCCATTTTTTTTTTCATTAGGACTAGTTCTAAATTTGTCATATTATCAAAATTAATATGGATATGAATCTTTTACTATACGTAATAATTAGTTGAAAAAAGATTATTGTGGATCTGTTTGAACCCTATTTTTTAGGTTAAATATACTTCCGAATAGCAGATTGATAGAGAATGTGTAATTAAAAATGAAGGAAAAGTTTTTGGACTACGTGCAATATTATTTTATTGAATAATGTGTGGTTGAAAAGAAGAGAAAAAAATGTATTTTGAAAAAAATGAGGATCAAATGGATATCAAATTTGAAAAGATTTGTTCCCATCCACAATGTAAATAATTTGAAAATAAATAAATAATTGTTGCATACATGTTCAATATTTAAAAAGCTTGTCAAACTTCATTTTTAACTAGACATTTCATTGAACGTGCCAGTTTTATCCACTTTTTAAGTTTTCACCGCACATTTCATGGACCTACCAACATTCATGGACCCGATCATTATAATTTAACCTCGGATCCAAATATGAAAGGGGAAACAGAGTACAAATAGGTCAACTTTGATACATTGCAGGATTTTTTCTGTAACATCAAACATGTTTGAAGCTGAGGCTACAAGGACAACAACAAAATGCTTGACCATTTCTAGTACTAGTATTCTACAAATCATTTCTTATCGTGTGCTTTTACTGGATGAAAGTAACGTTGTACATACAAGAAACTTACATTGAAATATACTACAAATAAGCATTCACATCATAGAACATCATGTGCTGCTCAAATCGTAAATATCTTCCTCACCTTCTTGAAGTGTCTACGACATATAGGACAAGTACGCACAGTCTCTGCTATCCTGCAAATTTCGAATCAAATTACACTAGTCATCTTTAATTAGCATTAGCTTCTACAGTGTTAACGCGGGAGAAATTCATAGAAACTGAGGGCTTGTTTGGCAAGACTTTTGTTTTTTGTAGAAGAACTTTTCGAAGAAACTATTTTTGATGTTTGGATACTAATTCTAAAAGAGTTCTCTCTTCTAGAAGAGTTTTCAAAAGAAACCACATTTGACCAACTTCATTTAAAAACTCCTCCAACTGGAAGAAACATTTTTGTAAAATTAATCGAACAGGTCCAAAAGCAAATTTTGGATTTCAAAAACTCTTTTTGTCTTCTCAAAAGTTATGCCAAATGAGCCTTAAATATGATCCTAATATGTTTCTTTCTAATCCCAAAGACAGACAAACTTTTTAGCCTTTGTTATACAAAATGATTCAGCACACTTGGAAAGTTATCAGGTTGTGGCGTTCATATGAATCTACACAATCAATTCCAAAGGTTTGGTGGATTAATCACTACTAAAATATATTGGGACGGGCTTCTCAAAAAAGGTTGGTGAAGGATATGACTTCAAATTTGATTTCCGAACCTATGAGCTCTCAACAGAAAATTAACTTTAGAATTCAGAGCAGAAAGCTAAATACAGGGACGAAGAGGAGCTACCTTGTCGCACATGCAAAACACGCCACGCAATGACCACATGGAAGGAAGAAAGTGTCCCTTGGAGCATCATAGCAAATTGCACAAAGGCGCATCATATTGTTGCTGGATTCACCGTCTTTAACTGGCTTCCCCTCCCCTAAACCCCCCACGCATCCTTCTTCGCAAAACTCATCTTCCTGTGAGACAGAGTCATAAGAGGAACCCCAGCTTGACAGATCACTGTCTTTTTGTAAAAGGAGAGGATTTCTCTCAGATTGCATAGCTCCAAATCGATCTCTGCCCTGATCTTGGCGGCCACGTTGCAAATGGTTCAAATAGCAATTCATGAGTAACACAAGGACAGCCATGCCACCTGAATAAGAAATTAATCAAGAAAAATCTGAGATATCTGATAAAATTGCATTTGCTTTCCAATGAAACTGAATGGTGAAATTTACCTAAGCCACCAATGTATATGATCCATCTAGGTCCGTAAGACAGTTTAACAAGCCAGCCACCATTGGCCATGCCCTAAAGAAAAAGACAAGTCCAAATTATAATGCTAACAATATGACACGTCAAAAAACAAAAATAATCACAAAAGAAATTCCAGTCATAAAGTAAAAAAAAAATTTGCTTATAAATAATTATTAGTTAATGTATTTTTATTTACAAGTTAGTTAGGAACAAAATATACTGGTTGAAAATAATTATTTTATGTAGCGTAAAATTGGAAGAGAATATAGAAACGACCAAAATTTACCTATTTGGTGGATAGAGAGAAATAGTCAAAATTACACTATACATTTAAACCATCCAAAACTGGTGCCTAAAAAATTAGCAAGCACTGAATTTCCCAACCCGTCATAAACAGTGCCACTCAAAACCGATCAAAGCCAGTGGAGAAAAAACTCCCAAGCAAGCCCTGATATATAACTAATCTGTTTATCACAAAGATTTCATTGAAAATCTTCTTCAGATTTGTAAATAGACAACATATTTTTGATAAATGCAACTGTGGGCAATATTGCTGATTCCGTAGCAGCAACTGCAACCTATATATCTGATGCGTTTAACTGATGTAGTTTATATCTTTCTGAGTACCGGTATCAAAATCAAAGAAATTCTTGAGAAAAGATTTAGTAAAGAGAAGAACTCCCAGGGCTCTCTTCTCATAGCGTAGCAAGCTCGTGATCCCCCTCTATCATCGCATGAGGGGAGCGCAAGAGCAGCGTAGCCGAACTATCCTTCTTTTAGGACTTACATGAATTTCTTTCCCTTCCCTCCACACTGGTCTAAGGGCATCTCTCTTACTTATAGTCGGAGGTTTGCTATGTCCACACCCAATTCTATTACCAAATCACCAAATTCGTTGTCTATCCTAATTGGTTGTAACCCTCTGAGCTTGAATATGAGCTAAAAGCAGATTGCTCTTCCAGTTGTTAGTGCTAGTTCGATTTCAGATTTCTAAATCGAATTCATACTCATAGAAAGAAAAGTACACTGGTTTTGATACATCAAAACAACCGGAAAGTTTCCCTTCCAGGTCTTGAGACAGATAGGNAGTTTCCCTTCCAGGTCTTGAGACAGATAGGCATAGAGAATCGCCTTGAATGGATCTCCACCCTGGTTAGTAGTTCTAATAGCTAGGAGAAGTTCTAAGATGTTGTCTTGTCCCTTACCCAGGAAGCCCCCAAAAGTCAATAAATTAAGGTTCCTGCCAAAAGCATTTTACTTTCTGAGGAATGCAAATTCCACCACTTAATGGGTATAGGATTGATTGTTTTTCCTGTCTTCAGGGCATGGCAAAAGCATTGATAAATTCATTTTTTCAAAAAATTTAAACAACAGAGCAAACTCACAGACTTTCTACTGGGGGAGGTAAGAAGAGCAGAATTTTCACTGGGGAAATGCAGATTGAAAACACATTGACTATGAGCAGGAGTACACTTGTAATATGACCCTGTGGTATTGTAAAGGAAAGCCTTTATTCTGAAGTTCAAATGCACCTGTTTGACATAACAAATACTAAGAAAACAACATATAATTGTAATAATGAATCATCAGAAAAGCAAAAGGAAGGAATAAAATATAGCAGATCAATAAAATATACTGGTGGAGATTTAATCCAGAAGGGACTCAGTTGAATGCCTGAAAGATTCTGCAGAAACAAGAAACAAGAGCAAAATGCATTTAGTTCACTTGCCTCTACTGCTTCAGAATTCAAGTTACCCACTGCTATGAAGTAGGTAGAAGACTTAGACACATGATGCTGGATTGTGCCATTGCCTGCAGATAAGGAGTTGGTTGGGATAAAATAGAAAGATTAAGCAGCAAAGATATGATAACATCTCTCACTGTTTTATCTCACCGTGAATGATGTTCCATGATAAGGTGGTATTTGGATACGATGGATCCTCAATCCACTGAGCAAGACCTTCATTCCCTGCAATTCAGCTCATAGGAAAATGCTTATTCAATTATTGAAGCTTAGGCAACAGTTTACAAGTCATCTAGGTTTTATGGAAGAAAGGAACAAACAATGTTTGACTGTTTGAGAATCACAATTGTTGGTATCTGTTATTTTAACCATTCTTCAAATCTCTGCAAGATAAGCAGAGCAGTGGACATGTATCTGGGCCAAATTACTAACAAGACCATAACATTTGTTTGTCATACCAAATTACTGCACATTATAAAAAAACCCTATGCTGTTATTATTGCACAAATGTACATATATTTCTATTTTTTACCATCAGCACTGTACATGCACCCTTTGAAATATAATTTACGGTACCACCATTCCATTTTCCAACAGTCCCTTGCAATTCTTCCTCATTTTTCCAAGTGCAGTAAATCTAAAGGGAACTTCAGTTGGAGAGTTCAGCAATACCTTGGGCAACAACAAGGACAAGAGAAGATGAGCTTGGAGGATTCACATTATAAGAAATGTTTATTTGAGATCCCGCGTTTAAGAAATGTATCCAATCCTGCAACATGAGGGGATAAGAAATATGGAACTACGCTACAATTAGGACGTTAAAATCATGAATTACATATATTTATCCAATAATGAAATAAAACGTTTGAAATTGTATGAAATATACCAATTACGAACCTTATGGGTACTGGCACGGAGAGTGGTTTTGTGAATCTCAGACCAGGTAGTCACAACATCAAGAAGTGGACTTCCGGAAAATCCATATAACATTGGCCCATCACCTGAATCTAATTCCTCCACCTGGTACAAGCTAATATTAAATAGACGCATAAAACATCTAGAATACCATAAACAAACTAAAAATGCGAAAAGTATTACTTATACCTTTACATACTCCACAAATATAGGATTAGGTTTTATCAATATCGATGAATTTGGTCCAAGTTGCATAGTTGTGGATCCATAATCTACCCAAACCAGAGTCATAGATACTGAAATGAACATAGAGTTGTAGTCAGCCAGATATATTAAAAACTGAGAGCATGTTTGGCTAAGTCTAAAAATTTTTATTTCCAAAGATGGTTGGAAAACATACTTTTTCTATCTTTTAAGTAAAGAAAAGAAAATGATTTCTTTCTTTCCAATTAACTCTTACCTTGCAGTAGTAATAATTAACTTATTTCTATCTTTTACGGTTTTACTAACAACAACAAACTAAGCCTCACTTCCAGCTTTTAGCAAGAAATATTTATTTCGAGGCTTACTTATTTACTTATAAGTAAACTTATTAAGCTTAGCCAAACATGCTTTCCACCAGTGGATTCAAAGGGCTTAAAGGAAATGGGTGAAAATTGAGAAACAAATAAACCGCACTTCAGAACCTTGAAGAGTGAATTCATGAAACATTCGTCCATGGGTATACAATTACAGTCACAAGCCAAACAATATAACTAATGCGCATAAAAAATTGATTAAAAAAAATACCGGAAATCAAGAAGGTAAGAATAACGAAGCAAGAGCAGTTATCGTCTCTGACAAACTCCGGTCTTCCGTTCTCCGTCCTAATATAATCCGCTCTTGGGAAACCCTGCTCTCCTGGAAAACCTCCGGAATATTCCCAATTCCTTTCCGGAAACGGCTCCGGAGGAGACTCTTCATTCTCCTCGTACACCAGTGTATCCGATGCCGATGCATTACCGGAATATTCCTCGTTCCTAGAATCCGATGATGAGGGAATCTGACCTAATTGATCTAGTTTTTCCATTCTTGAAGAAAAAAGGGATCAAAATACAAGAATTGAGGGTTTTGGAGGAGGAAAGAAATGTTCAACGTAATTAATTAGAAATTGTGAAATTAATGGTGTATTTTACCTGTGAAATCCATGGGAGATTATGTAACGGAATTTCACCCATCAGTCTCGTGGGAAGTTTTCGGTGTCCGACTGGTCGTTACGTCGAGAAACTAGCGACAGTTGGGTGGGGTGAAATTGTCTCCGGTTGCTCGGTATTTTTTAGTGTCTCAATTAATCGAGTTAAATTAATAAAATAATTAAAATCAGATTTTTATTATATTTTTATAAAAAATTATAAATTGAGTGGTTAAAAATTTGTGAATTTAATGAAATGTGTGGTTAAAATTAAATTTTAATACCTCCCAAACAAGGATTAAATAGAGTCGGCTTTGCAATTTGGTTGGAACGCAAGTTTTTGTATGACTCTAATTTTTAAACTCATTTTTCCTTAAATTTATATTTTTCAATCACACTATGTCCTCGTCTCATTCATATCTCAGAGGGATATATGCATCTAAAAGATCTTTGATAATTTATTCAATTTCGAAATTCATTCGATATATATGAGCCACATAGCTAGAACGGACATTCTAACTCTTAACAGGATTCCATCAGCAAAACAAAATTTATGGCTACTTGATATTTTATGGGGTTAACAAGTTTCATCAACTTTTCTATCATATATTTTATCAAATTTTATTTTTTAACACAATCGACTAGAGGCTAGGAGCTTGTTCGAGCGCAATTATAATTACAATTCCAACCGTTGCTACAGTGATTGCCCACAATTTTTGACTTTTGTTTACTTACAACCAACCCACAATTTGAATGGCAACGGTCCAAAAAAGCCAATTTTGTGTAATTTTAATTGCGTCCAGGCGCTAAATATTAATTGAAGTAAGCATTGTAACGGAAAACCCACCTTAGAGGGGATTGCTCAACTTATCTATATGGAATTACCTAAGCATGGAATACCATTGTTCAACTTATCTACAATCATGTTATATGTACATCATCTTTTACCTTGTGTCATGTGACAGTACACTGTTGTACATTAATTTTAAAAATAGAAACACTTTTTCCATCACAAATTTTTGAAAATATGGATGATGTCGAAAACAATGTAAATCAAATAACGTATATTTAGCATTATTGTATTAATAATAATATGTTATGTCATCAGAAAATATGATTTTTTATTTTTCCTTCATTTTTTTAACATTGGGCAGTGCTTTGAAATGTCCTCCAATTATAGAAACCCTAGCCTCAGACTCTGTACTCAGTACTCACTACTCATGGAAATGTCCTCTCTTCAGCTCCATCTATCACTCGCCCCTTCACCCTTCAAACCCAAATACCTCTCGCACTTCCTATGCCCAACTCTCAGATTCCGGTCAATTCCCGTTGCTTCTTTGTCTAAAAACGCCATTAGTATTTCTCAGTCCCATGAAAATGGCTTCGTACAAAATGGTGCACCAGAGGAATTTTCGGATTCTCTTCCGGAGGGTCTATTGAGAGAGTTGATGCCGACCCATGTGGCAGTGATTATGGACGGGAACAGAAGATGGGCGCGAATGAGAGGTCTGCCAATTGGGTCGGGTTATGAAGCGGGAGCTCGGACCCTGAGAAGGCTCGTGGAGCTTTGTTGCAAGTGGGGGATTAAAGTTCTTACCGTGTTCGCCTTCTCGTCTAATAACTGGTTCCGACCCAAAGTTAGTTAAATTCTTAACATAATTTCTCTTTTCCTTTTGTTCAATTCAATTTGATGATCGTAATTATGTTGGGTTTTGGAATTTGAAGGTGGAAACTGATTTCTTGATGGGATTGTTTGAAAGAGGATTAAGAGATGAACTTGAAAATTTTATCAAGTAAGCTTCACTATTCCAATTAACACATCATGTCCATTTTGGTTGGTTGAATCAATATCCTGTTTAATTTCTTTGCAATTAGTGAAATATTTTTAATATGCAAATAGTTATTTTTGAGCTTGATGTTCTTTTCTCCCGCGTTGAACTAACATTGTGGATGAATGGCAAACGAAAAATCTATCGATTTGACACTCAGAAAAGAAAAGAAAAAAAAAATGGCTAGAAAAGAGGGGCGAGGCTGCTACACCGGTTGGTGCAGAGTCGTGTGAAATCTCAAATGAATGTTTTTAAGAGCGGATTTACAATATGCTGATTTTGTCCGACATTGACATTTTCTAGTACTCTCTTACAATCTTCTACACTAGTTTTGAAGTTAGGATTTCTCCTATTCAAACTCGTGTCCTGCTGTATACTTTGTTTTCATTTCCTTTTTGCTTTTCCTTTCTTGAATATTATTCTTGTCTACAGGACTATGCAAACTGCTTATTTATATATTGGCTTTTCACAGAGCAGGCATTCGGATTTCTGTGATTGGGGACTCTACTAAGCTCCCAAAGCCCGTGCAGATATTGATAACTGATGCAATGGAGGTAACGAAGAACAACTCTCGACTTCATCTTATTGTGGCAGTTAATTATAGTGGTCAGAATGATATTGTGCAAGCTTGCCAAAGTATTGCTCTCAAAGTAAAAGACGGTGTAGTTAAACCAGAAGATATCAATGAGTTCTTAATTGAACGCGAACTTGAAACAAATTGTACTGATTTTCCATGCCCTGATCTGCTTATAAGGACCAGTGGAGAGCTTAGAATCAGTAATTTTTTATTGTGGCAATTGGCCTTCACCGAACTGTATTTTACACATTCACACTGGCCTGATTTTGGAGATGACGAGTTCTTAGAGGCTCTGCGTTCCTTTCAGCAGAGGCAGAGACGTTATGGTGGACGTGATTCTTGAATTTTCATTACTTTTCGAGGACTTCCTTCCTATATGTGGTCATAGATTGAAAGGTGGCGCTCTGAAACTGATTTCATGCAAAATAGTGAGGTGCTAGACTTGATTGGAGATCTTCCCGAATTGATGCTCGGGCTCGGCAAGATTGAGCTGGTGAAGAAGTTTTGAACCCCAAATGGACCATTATGGCTTATCTAGTGGGATGGACTACATAGTACTTGATTAGATCCAATCTATAATATATTAAATATCACATCAAGTGAAATTCATTTTTTGGACGATTCTAGCCTCACTATAATTCAGTTATTTCAATATTACTTTATTTTTCGTTATCAATATGTAATTAATTTATTTAATCATTTAGTTACAATCATTGTACATGTACATATACATTTGACAAATTCATTTCACCTGTTATGAATTTCCTATTATTAATTCTCGATTAATTAATATTTATATTCATTTAATTAATATTCATCTTCATTTATGCATTTCGGTATTATTAATTCTAATTATTAATAATAATTGGAAGTTCACTCAAGAATGTATTTTATTATTCACACGTATGCTAATTAATATCCAATTTAAATTAATTTGGAATTAAATATCACATTAAGTGAGATTTTATCTTTTGACGATTTTAGTCATATTATAATACAATTATTTCAAAAATATCTTATTTTTCAACATGTATTTAATTTATTTATCAATTTAGTTATCATCAATGTGCATATACATTTGACAGATTTATTTTATTTGTGTACTTTTATTAATGTATGAATTTTCTATTTTTAATTCTTTCTTTTTACATTTCAGTGTTATTAATTATAATATAAATTAATTAAAATTTCACATTCAAGAATGCATTCATTGTTCACATCTATGAATACTAATTAACATTCAATTTTATTTAATTAGAAATTAAATAAATAATTTTATATTCATTGTCATGTATATATTCTTTAATATTAATTTTAAATTAATTCGTATTTATAAAACATTTTATAATAATGTAAGAATGCATTGATTAGTATTGAATCAAAGGAGTAAATAATTCATTAATCAATTGAAGAAGTTAACTATGGATATTTTAAGTACGCATTAATTTATTATGTATTTCTATTCTATGGTGATGAGTCATGACCCAGTCATTAATTGTCTGCCCGTTCTAGACATTTTCTAGAAAGAAAAAGTGCGACATAGTTGTCTAATCTTGCTTACCAAACGTCTTATTAGAGTCTACCTTGAACATATTGTATCTACTCGATAGCACAAATTAATTGGTCATAAAGTTCGTATTTGTCCTGTGAGTATGTCTTGTTTCTGAATTCCTCCATCCTTAATGTTTCTGAAAATAGATAGGTGTAGTGGATTTTCTTCGTCACAAAGATAAAAGTTCCCTTCTTCCTCCAAAAAAATGGAGTCCATATCATTTCCCTTCTAATAGTTCCATGTCACGATATCTCAGTTGTGTCAAATCTAAATTTCAAGTACATAATTGGTATGTAGTTCATAAGATGTGTGTAGAGTGGAGGCGTAGCGTGGAGGGCACGTCATAATATAGGAATGCCACTAGTGGCCTGTGTTGTGACACGAGCCTAGCAAAAAGTGAATCTCAAATTTATAAATACACTGATCAATTATGAGAAAATTTTAGTTATTTCTTATGCATTAAATGCTACGACTACCAGAAAGGGAGCGTTGTTTACTAGATAATCTTTGGATGACACGTGACTCTAAGCAAAAATTAGACAGCATTAATGCGTTAGCTAATCATTTTGGATAGATTCATAATCAAATAGAAAACAGAAATTTTAATTTCTTTGCAGTAGTTAAAGGTAGAAAGCCGGGTATATATAATTATTGACCAGAAGTATTGCAACAAGTAGAGGATTTTCAGACCCCTTTTTCAAAGGATTTTACACATGAGAAGAAGTTTTAATTTTTTGTAGAGAAATGATAGGATTTAACTTTTACATATTTGAAAGAGTTAAACAGATTATGCAACCCTATATTTCTCAACCGTTAAACACACAAATCAAGACATAGATGATTTTAATATACAGATTAAAGAATTATCAGATTTAAAGGTAATAAGACCTTCCAGTAGTCAACATAGATCAGCAGATTTTATGGTTATAAATCATAGTGAAATTTAAAAAGGTAAAACAAGAATGTTTATAAATTATAAAAGATTAAATGATAATACTATAGAAGATGGATATAAGATACCATATAAAGATATGTATATAAATAAAATACAAAATAGTAATGTATTTTCGAAATTTGATTGTAAATCTGGATTCAGGCAAATAAAAACGGCAAAAGATTATATTCATTGGACAACTTTTACAACACCACTAGAACATTTTAAATGGTTAGTCACACTTTTTGGATTAAGGAATGCATTTTCTATTTTTCAAAGAAAGATGGATAATATTTTTAATTCTTTTCCAATTATTTGTGTATATATGGATGATATCTTGGTATATAGTAAAAATCAGAAAGAACATATGCAACATTTAGAATTAGTTTTAAATAAATTTATACAAACGGTTTAATTATAAGTAAAAGAAAATGCAAATAAATAAACAAAAAAATTGAATTTTTGGGAATAATTTTAGGAGAATGAAAAATTCAGTTGCAACCACATAAAGTACAAACAATTTTACAGTTTCTAGACAAAATAGAAGAAACTAAAAAATTACAAGCCTTTTTAGGAATTTTAAATTATGTTCGACATTTCATTAAAACATTGGGATAAAAATAAAATTGAATCTAAATTAGAAATCATAAACGAAAATATAAAAATAAGAACGGCAGAAATTAAACACACAAATCAAGACATAGAGGACTTTAATATATAGATTGAAGAGTTATTAGATTTAAAGGTAATAAGACCATCTAGTAATCAACATAGATAAACAGTTTTTATTGTTAGAAATAATAGTGAAATTAAAAGAGGTAAAGCAAGAATGATTATAAATTATAAAAGATTAAATGATAATACTATAGAAGATGGATATAAGATACCAGATAAAGATATGTTAATAAATAAAATATAAAATAGTAAGGTATTTTCGAAATTTGATTGTAAATCTGGATTCGGGCAAATAAAAATGACAAAAGATTCTATTCCTTAGACAACTTTTACTACACCACTATGATATTTTGAATGGTTAGTCATGCATTTTGGATTAAAGAATGCACCTTCTATTTTTCAAAGAAAGATGGATATTATTTTTAATTCTTTTCCATTTATTTGCTTATATATAAATGATATCTTAGTACATAGTAAAAATCAGAAAGAACATATGCAACATTTAGAATTAGTTTTAAATAAATTTATAGAAAACGGTTTAATTATAAGTAAAAAGAAAATGGAAATAAATAAACAAAAAAATCATTTTAGGAATACTTTTAGGAGAAAGAAAAATTCAGTTGCAACCACATATAGTACAAACAATTTTACAGTTTCCAGACAAAATAGAAGAAACTAAAAAATTACAAGCCTTTTTAGGAATTTTAAATTATGCTAGATATTTCATTAAAGATTTAGGAAAGAAAGTAGGACCATTGTATAGTAAGATATCTAGTAAATGACAAAAATATTTTAATCAGTCGGATATAGAATTAGTTAGAAAAATAAAAGAAGTTAAAAATTTACCACCATTAGATAGCGAATATAAAATAATAGAAACAGATGGATGTGAACTATGATGTGGTTTTATATTCTAAACCAAATAAATAGAGCAATAAAAAAGAGGAAAAGATTTTTAAATATACTAATAGAAAATATAAGATAAAAGGAAAATATTTGAATAGTTTAGATTATGAAATAATGGCCACCATACATAGTATAGAAAGTTTTAAATTATTGAATTCACAATTAGAATAGACTGTGAGGCCATAGTAAAATTTATTAAAAAGACAAATTTTGATAAAATAAGACATAAACAATAGTTAAAATTATATGAGATATTAAACAGCTATAAAATTAATATAGAAAATATAGACGGAAAAAATAATATTTTGGCTCATAATTTAAGTAGATGGGTTATTAATTTTCTAAGCCATTGTTTTCATGGTGCAGATGGATTTGAGGATGATGAACTTTGAGAATATCACTCTAAGAGTGGCTCCACAAGGATCTCATATCTGATTTAGAGGAAATAATTTAGAAAGACTAAATAATCTCTGGATGACACATGACTGTAAGCAAAAATTAGACATCATTAATGCATTAGCTAATCATTTTAGACAGATTCATAATCAAGTAGAAAGCAGAAATTTTAGTTTCTTTACAGTAGTTAAAGGTAGAAAGTCTGGTATATAGAATTATTGGCCAGTAGTATTGCAACAAGTAGAAAGGCTTTCAGACCCCTTTTTCAAAGGATTTTAGATATTAGAAGAAGCTTTAAATTTTTGTAGAGATGATAAGATTTAACTTTTACATATCTGAAAGAGGTAGACAGACTATACAACCATCTAGTTATCAAGGGTCATCTTCATATTCAATACAACTTTGTGATAGTTGTGAAATTATGACCAAAGTTGTTAGAAATTTAAATCTTAGAAAGCGGTCATTCGAAGAAAGATTACATATTCTTGAAGATGAAATCTCTTCATCCCAACAGAATATTAATAAATATCAACATGAGATTTTTCACCTACATGATAGTTTAGAAAGACGTTATGAAAGACATATCTCTAAAGATATTACATCTACAAGTAGAAATGATTCTGATAAAATAGAAAGACTTATTGAATTAACAGATTCTACAGCTGCAGGGCAAGAAATTTTTTTTATATGAATTAGAACAGAAAATTGGAGATTGTGCCAGTGTTGTTCGAAGTGTAATAAAGGAGTCAATAATGAATCAGTCAATAATTCAGCTTTTCTCAGACATAATCATCCTACAATTTCTTTTGACTACACAATTTTTGAAGAAGAAAAACTTTTTTATCCAGCTTTAAAATTCGGCATGATAGACACCATATAT